AATATGGAGTCTATGAAATTATATTATTCTCTAGAGATAAATTATTGTGCACTAAAGTGCATCATCCAGAGTTGTTTAAGAATCATTTAACTGTACTACTCCATGTACTAAATGAGTGAGAAATTGAAAAAATAAAATGAGCAAGTATGAGGGAAATATGTTCAACAATTTCACAACCAATAAGTCTCGTGTAAGGTGGGTGTATGTTAATTTTATGGTAAGACGGTTAGTTTGAGGGTAACTTTAACTACTTTTATGGTAACTTTTAATTTGTCGTTGGTTTGAATTTTTTTGTAATGTGTAATTTCTTATAGATTCATGATTACATACTATAAAGGCTAATATAATTTATTTTATTTTTTTTGAAACCAAGCGGCAAATATCATTATAGGAGATCAATTTCTGCCAAAGTTGTGAGGCTTTGGGGAAAAGGACTAAGAGAAACAAATTCAAACTAGAAATATCATCACGCACGCTTAATATGAGAAAACGTAAAAGAATTAAAACAGGAAGCCAAACTAGATATATCATCATACAGCAGGAAAATTGGAGAGAAACCCTTGGCTTTCGACTTTACTGCATTCACCACATTCACAACATCCGACTCAAGGTGTACCCTAGTGAACCCCAACTTTCTGGCAAGCTGCAATCGGAACCTACATGCAGCAGCTTCAGCAATACAAACATCCCATCATCCTTTATATTTTAATACTTGACTTATATAGTTTTACAAAATTATTTAAAATCTTTTTGAAAAGTATTGTTTACCTACTCCTTGATTTAATACTAAAGATGGTCCTCTAAACAGTTTTTCATCCTTTTTTCCTTCCTTCAAACCAAGGTATCCTTCACTAAACAAGGTATGTATTTTGATGCCACCCTTTATATATTCAAACTAAAACAAATCGGTTCTAACTAATTTTGTCAAGCTATCCTATAGTTTCTTCGCATGAAGAGCAACCATCAAAATTATAATCGAAACTCTACTCTAAAGGCACAAAAATTGGTACCAAAAAGAGGTTCAACTCGACAGATAATTAGATACACTCTTAGTGCACTTTTACTCATATTTTCCATATTATTTGGGTTTACTCAGACTAGCCAGAAGGTCATTTATACTCCAACCAACGAGGTGGATCCATGACCACATAAGCATGAAATTATCCAAAGTCAACTTCATCATTCATATTCTGGTAATTACTCCTCAGAAACAAATCTCTATCTTCTTCAGCCAAATTCTCTCCCACAACCTCAACGCTAAATCAAAGACTTGAAGAAAATTTAGATGAATTGCCCCACCCCCAAATCCCCGACCCTACTCTTCTCCACGACCCTACTGCTCCTTAAAATGATTTTTTTCATTCTTCTCTCTCCTTCCCCAAACACCACCACTGCTCCACCCCCTCTCTCCATCCCCACCACCACTGCACCACTCCAGTCCTATGGAAAACGGAAAGTCAACAGAACTTTGATTTTTCTCAATTCCATTATCAACAAAACTGTAAAATGGAAAGTCAATGAATTTTATTTAGGGAAAATAAAAAGGCACCAACGAATAAACATATAATAGATACAATTATCAGATGATTGTAAGTCAAAGTAGCTTAGATGAAGTCATATAGTGTATACACAATCCTTTTTCTTTATTTTTGAAACAATGGAAAAAGAAGTGTTCAATCTTCATTAGGTGGGACAACATAAATAGAGAGAAACCAAAAATAGAAATTTTATAGGAACAAATAAATGAAACAATAATTGTTATATATATAGTATAAATCTAAACTTAATGCATCTATGTATGATATCCACGATTTGCATATGCTTATAGTGAAACAAGCAGAGCAAAACTATGCTAGATTGCTACAACTCAATATGTTTTACCAAACCAGAGAACAACATTTCAGACCAGAGGATACTACATACATCAAAATATGCAGCTGTATATGAGATATATAAGTGAAGTTAGTAAGATTGTGTTGCTTAGAAGTAGATTATATTGCTTAGATCCCTGTAAGGTTCACTTTTTAAGAGTTCTACAAAATTATACCAGATAACAAAAGATAAGCCATAAATTCCAGGAGCTTCATATACAAGGATATATCTAAAAGTCAGTTTTTGAGTTCTACAGGTGGGTCAGATTGCAAGAATAAACTGCACCAATTGGATTCGAATTTTGAGGCGATTCGAGTTGCAGTAGCTAGAATAGGATATCTAGTGTTAAGGAAAAATATTAGAAAAATTAATTAACAATATTTGTTAGGGTTTTAAGTCAGATTTTGTCAAGTGATACAGCTGGAAAATCTGATAAGCATGTTCTGCTAGCAAGGGTTGTTTTCCTTGGAGTTTTATGCAATTTCTTAGCTTTGTTTTGTACGTTTTCCTCACAAACCTGTAGCCTATTTAAAGGCCTAAATTGATCAATAATATTCAGTTTTTCAGTCATCTAAAACCCCCACCCCAACAACTAAGCCTTAGACATTGGATACAAGTTTATTAGACACCTTAATTGAATTATATGAACAGATTTTGTACATGTATATTATAGCTGCTTACAATTCAAAGCGAATCACTACAAAAGACTTTAAATTTTTGAAACATCAAACCAAAAAGAATCTAATCAAACGATATTACCCATATAACATCAAGGTAATTTAAAGCAACGAAAATCAAAAGCCTAAAACTAAAAGATTAAAAAAAAAAAAAAAATGAAACATATAGAAGCAGGGGATCTATTATTAAGCACTCATAATAGAAAGCCAAATACATTAATCATTGACTTATATATTAAACAAGATAAATAAATCTATACTTAGTTTTTAAAAACACAAACCAAAGTTGACACATGTCCTCATTCTTTTTCACTTTTCTTTATTCATTCTCTCTCCTTATGTTTTCAAAGAAATTATCTTCATCTCCCCCTTTATTTCTCAATAACTTTTATATTTTATAATCTCTATTTTAATTCAATAACAAATTAAATTTCCTAAACCTTCTCCTCTTCTCCTTCCATCTTTCAATTCAATTTATTCACATTCATAATTCAATTCTTTGACCTCTTATCTTCCCTCTCTTCTAATATAAATATAAGTTTTCAATAAAGCTTTTTCACATTACTTAAGTTCCACAAAAATAAAAAATTAGAGAAACATCTCTCAAAATTCCATGCAAAATTTCTACAACAATGAAGATAATGATTGAAAAGGAAAATATTGAGGCGACAAAGAAGGAAGACTTTTTGACAAGAAAAGTGAAGATTTTCATGCAAGAATAATACTATGGAAATTCTATAGGATGACATTGCTTGCATGTCATGGGCCTTTATTTTTCAAGATATTAAGCGCACTATAAGAGACATATATTGGTAAAGACTAATGAAGATCATGCCTTCATATTTGATGTAAAAATTGTAAAATTATAATAAGTGTTTGGTATTTAGTTTTTATACAAATTGTTGAATAACTATCATGCAAATAGAGATTTTATTTTATAATTTTAAGCCATTTTTTCTACAATTATTACTACCAATTCATAAAATATTATAATATGTCAAAAGACGATGAAATGAATTCATTCAAGTAATTTGTAAAGGTTTTTTTTTTAACAAGATAATTTGTAATGTTTTAAATAAAATTAATAACTTAAGCATAACCCGTGTGTAGAACGGGTCTAAAAGCTAATTAATCTCTTTTTCTCGGCCTCTTTCTTTTTGACAGGGAGTTCTTTAAGTGCTGCTTACATACAGACAACGTATAATGGAATTATAGCTTCAATTATATATCAAATAGAAATAGAAAAAAAAAAAAAAAAAAAAAAAAAAAAAAAAAAAGATTAATTAGGCAAAACAGAATCGAAATTGAAGAAATAATTAAACATATAGTAATGAGAAATTGACAAAACCCAAAACATTCGTACCTATCATACTAACACTAACCGAAATTTGATGGAAAATTAACCCCGGTAAATTAAGAAAATTAAGAAAACCCCGAAAATTGATGGAAATAAGAAAACCCCGATAAATTATCAGGAAATGAGAGAAAAAGAGAAGAAATTTGACAATCGTACCTGTAGTTTTCCAACAGGAGAAGGATCAAGCTGTAATTCTTCCAATTCTTGAGCCACGGTTTTGCTGCTGCTACTCCATTCATGTTTGAAAAACCATCAAATTGAATATTGATTTAGAGATAGTCAACTTGTGTAGTTTCCATAATCTGACGTCCTATCATACCAACACTAACAGCAATAGAAAATAGTTTTAGAGATTGATTTGCTTGTTACAAAGAAACCAAGAAAAAACACAAAAAGAACCCAAATTTAGGAGAGAGGAAATACCAGAAGAGATTGAATTGCTTTAGGGTTCGTTGTAATCGTCGTCCGCCATTGAAGATTGTTGAAGCTAAAAGCCCTAAATTGGTCGGGAAGAAAGAGAGTATTATTGTGAGGAGAATCAAGTTGATAGTAGTCAAAGAATGGTTGTGAGGAGGAAACCACAGCCTGCTGATTCAGCATATACAAAGAAGACCAACAAACCAAGAACTCAAGAAGTCAGTCAACAAGGGCAACAGGAAAGGAAAAAAAAAATAAAAAAAATAGCTTGAGGATATAAACGGAAGCACACTATAGTTTTAAAATAGTAACACATGTTGGGGCTTTTGAAGGGTCGTAGATCGAAATATATAACTATTATTTTTTTTTGGGAAATTATCAATAGTACACCCAAGGTTTGGATCTTTATCAATAGTATACATGCTAAATTATTGTTTATCAGCAGTACATGCAAGGTTTTATACCATTATTATTAGACGTGCACCTACCGTTAGACAAACGTTAAGAAAACGTTAGTTTTGACTTTTTTTACTTAAAAACTGACACGTGACGGCTTGGTCCAAAAAAATAAAAAATATATATTTTTTTTAAAAAAGTTAGATTAATAAAATAAGATAATTTTTTTAATTTTAAATTTTGATAATTTTTTTTAAACAACATTATTTTATTTTTTTTCTTTTTTTTTTCCTACCTCCTTCCTTTCTCTTTCCTCCATCCTTCCTCCTCCTCCATTACTTCCAGCAGCCAACCAGACATCCCACCCCCCTCATTTCTCTTTCCTCTTCTTGTCCACCACCATAAATTAAGACTCCCCAGCTCATTACACGCTCTCGGCAAACTAACAAGAGTAAACTCATTAGGTTTCACTCCTTCAACCTGCATTTGGGAGAACAACTCGAACGCCTCTTGAGGCCTCCCATTCGACACATACCCATTGATCATAGCAGTCCAAGAAACCATATTTCTCACAGGCATTTGATCAAACAGTTTTCTAGCACAATCCAACTCCCCAAATCCAACCAAACCCGAAACCATCGTAGTCCAAGACACAACATTTTTCACAGGAATTTCGTCGAACACCTTACGTGCACACTCTAAACTCCCACATTTCAAGTACATATCCAAAAGGGTATTCTTAACAAACAAATCTTTACAATGAAACCCAGATTTTATAACAGAAGCATGAACCTCCTTACCCTTTTCAATAGCCGAAGAAGCAGCGCAAGCTTTAATGACAAAAGGGAAGGTGAATTTATCAGGTGGTACCCCAGCACATATCATAAGATTGTACAAAATGAGAGACTTTGAAGAAGAAGAGTTGATTGTATGAGCTCTGATGATGAGATTCCAGGAAAAGGTTTAAGGAGATTGAATTCGATGGAAGATTGAAGAAGCGTAGTTGAGATTGCTAAAGGAAGAATAAAGGCGAAGTAACTGGGAGGCAAGAATTGGGTTGGTAGAGAGATTTGAATAGATGATTTTAGCATGGATTTGGATAAGATGTTGTGAGTTAGTGTAGTTTTGAAGGAGAGGCTGGAAGTTTGGAGGAGAGAGAAAATCTTATTTTATTAATCTAACTTTTTTAAAATTTTATTTTATTTTTATTTTTTTGGACCAATCACAGGCCGCCACGTGTTAATTTTTAAGTTAAAAAAGCCAAAACTAACGTTTTTTTAACGTTTGTCTAACGGTAGGTGTACGGCTGATAATGGTATAAAACCTTGAATGTACCGCTGATAAACAATAGTTTAGCAGATGTACTATTGATAAAGGCCCAAACCTTAGGTGTACTATTGATAATTTTCCCCAATTTTTTTTTATTATTATTTGAACAGAAATTAAAGTTCTTAAAAAAATTTAGTGAACTAATTACTTTATTTAGGATATCGAAAAAAGATGGGAAATTTTTTGACGAGAAGGTGACACGTGGAGCTTTGGTTTTGAGTGTCCTCTATTTTAGTATAGCTGTATAGTTTTAGATTAGAGCGAGCTCGGACTTCTCTCAACAACCCCAGGTTTACAATATAGTGTATCCCCAAGTCTCTATTTAGTTCAATTGATTTTGACCGAAATTATTATATCTAAACTATTTTTTTTTTTTTTTTTGGATAGATCTAAACTAATTTTTAGTTCAACTTTATGAGTTTTTTTTTTTTTTTTTTTTTTTTGAATAATTCAACTTTATGAAATTATTTTGTTTAAACTTAGTTTATCGTTTTTTTTTTTTCCCATAATCTACTCTTATAGACAAGTCTAGAGTGAACATTAGGGGTGGGACTTTTCAAACCGAACCGTGAAACCGTCCGTTACCGAACCGAACCATCACGGACCGAACCGTTTATAACCCGCTAATTTTAAACCGAAAACCGAATTGAACAGTATAATGTCAAACCGAACCGAACCAATTAATGTTAACCCGTTACGAACCGTAAACCAATAACAAACCAAACCGTTTGAACCGATTAATGTTAACCCGCTAACTGTTTAAACCGAACCGTTTATAAATCGAAACCGTTTAAACCGTAGGAAAAAACCGTTTAAATCGAACCATTTACAACCCGCTAACTGTTTAAACCGAACTGTTATAACCCATTAAACCGTTTAAACCGAACTATTTTCAAACCACAACCTGTTTAAACCGATCCGATTACAAACTATTTAAACCGAACCGTTTACAACCCGTTCCATTCAAATTGAACTATTTACAGCCTTTAGCAATTTGTTAGAATTCCACGAAATATATTTGATGTTTAATGTAATTTAACAGTATAATTTTTTTACATATAATTATTGATTTAAATTTGTAAATTTTTTTGCTATTATAAAATTAAAATTATATTCTTGTATAACTAAATTAGGAGTTATAAATTAAATAAAAAAATGAAAAAATTTGGCCACCCACCCAATCCAACCACCCTACACCCACCCACCACCGTAACCCACTCTAACACCACCCCCGCCGTCACCCCAGACCCACCCTAACACTACCCCCCACCCACCACCGTTACCGTAACCCACCCCCACCCCACCAACGTCAACCCAGACCCACCCTAACACCACCCCCGCACCCACCATAATTACCGTAACCCACCCCACCCCACCCCACCACCCACCGTAAATAAAAAAACCCAGACCCAAACCTTACCCCACCCCATCCACCACCGTCACCGTAAATAATAAAAACCCAGACCCATACCCCACCCCACCTACCACCATCACCGTAACGTACCCCACCCCACCCACCACCGTCACTGTAAAAAAAAAAAAAAAAAAAAAAACACCCAACCCCAACCACACCCACCACCGTCACCGTAACACACCCCACCCCACCCCACCCCATACAAAAAAATCGAAAAAAACCCAAACCCACCGTAACCCCACCCCACCCACCCCCACGAAACCCAACATCCTCGAAACCCCCCAACTCACTCTAATTGCTCACCCACCATAAAACTCCCTCCCTCCCTCGAAAAATCCTCCCTCCCCACCCACCCAAACCCAGTCTAACCGCCGCCGCACCCACCCTAACTCCGCCCCCTCCGTTGCCCACAACTTGAAAAAAAATTAAAAAGAAAAACAGAAAATAAAAAAAGGAAGAACGAAAACACCTTATATATTAATCCTGAATTTGGCCTCGAATTTGGTTTTAAAAGGCCAAATTCGATCATGAAACAACTAGATCTAGAGTTTCGTGGTCGAATTTGACCATAAAAACCGTCGTGCGTGGTGCCCGTGGACGGAGACGGAGAAACGAGATGGAAGAAAGGAGAACATAGACGGAAGAAGGGAGAAGAAGGAAGAAGAAGAAAGGAAGAAGGAAGAGGAGATGAGAGAGAAAACGAGAGAGCAGTGAGCATATTAGCAGCCATGGCTTCAAAAAATTGATAATATTACAGAAGAGGATTAAGAAAACGAGAGAGAAATCAAAAAGAGTACTAAAGAGACGATGGTAAGAGTGATGTGATTGGTGGAAAAGAAAACACACGGATCGTGAATTGGAATGTGTGCGATGATAGGCCGTTAGATGACATGCAAATCAATGGCTGATATTTAATATAAGACGGTGACACGGATCATGGGATAATGGATTTGGATAGTATGTTTTTTTTTATTCATAGCTACGTACTAATAAAAACACTACTGTACTCTTAACTTTATGTAACTTATAAATTGTAAGAAACACAAATGTTTGGAAATTAGAATTGATTCAATGACATATTTAATGTATATTAGTTATATGTATATCAGTATATGTAATAAATAATAATGTATGGTACGATTGGTATCATACTATCATTGGTATGTATAGATAATCGATAAATGTATCTGATTATTAAAACTTAAAACAGTTGATGATTGATCTAATTGAATACTTCTACTTCCCCACCCGTTTTCTTTAACTTGCAAGTTGCAACATATATATGTTGCAGCCTTGTAGGCACGTAATCTTAAAAGGTGATTAGAGAGGGTAAGACAACAAAGTATTTCAGCAATATAACTTTAACACCAAAATTATGGAATAGTTACAAACAATTGTCAATTATTACTTTATTAGACTAATGGGAAATTGAATAATCGTGATTTTAATTAAATATCCAAATATAGTTCCTTAACATTAAATTATTAGTTTATTACAATATCAATTATCGATTTATCGTATTCAAAGTACCAATTCATCAAATCATGGTTATGACGCGATCTTTAAAACAATTAAAACAAGAAGCTGATAGCCTGATAATATTTGATAATGAAACAATAATACATTAATACCTTATAAATTTGTAATAGACTAATATTTAATAAACAACAACAAGACTATAACCAAATTTGAAACATAACACATTAACATGATATAGAATGAATGAGAATTTCTGTAATTCTATATAATCTGATATCTGAATCGATTTATCGTATTCAAAGTAGCAACTCATCAAAACATGGTCATGACACGATATCTAAAACAATCCAACAAGAAGCTGATAACCTAATAATATATATTTAATAATGAAACAATAATACATTAATACATTATAAATTTGTAATAGACTAATATGATAATATCGAATAAACAACAACAAGAGTATAACCAAACTTGAAACATAACATATTAACATGATATAGAATAATTGAATAAATGAAGATTTGTGTAATTGTATATAATCCGATGTCTGAAAATAAAGTGACGAAATCCCAACTTTATATAAAACGAAAATAGCTAACCGGTCAAAAATCTCTTAAAACCCAATTTATACTTGATCCATTATTTTTTTCACCAACCTATGCCGACCCGCTAATGAAATGGAAATACTAGTCCCAATTTGATATAAAACAAAACGCGCTAACTGGTCAAAACCACTTTTTAGAACTCGATTTCAACCCGATCCAATTTAACCGATTACCAAACTAACCCGAACGATTTTAGCACCAAACCGAGTATAAACCGAACCGATATGAATCGAACTAGCATTAACCCGGGTAAACCCGCCCCTGAACCGACCCATTTCAAAATAATCCGTTCATGACCCGAACCGATATGAACCCGGACCGACGTTGACCCGGTAAAACCGCCCCTGAACCGATCCGTTTCAAACCGGTCAGATCATGACCCGAACCGTTTATAAACCGAACGGGCATTGACCCGGGTAAACCCGCCCCTGAACCGACCTGTTTCAAACCGACCCGATTATTAACCGAGCCGTTTAAAAACCGAACCGGCATTGACCCGAGTAAATCCGCCCCTGAAGCGACCCGTTTCTAACCGATCTGATTATGACCCGAACTGTTTATAAACCGAACCGTTTATGATCCGAACCGAATTTAAATCGTACAAAAATAAACCGAAACCGAACCGACCTGTGACTAATCAAAACCGAACTGAACCGACCCGCCGTCTAAATGAAACCGTTTTAACCCGAACCGTTTCAAACCGAAACCGTTTCAAACTGAGGTCAAACCGAACTGCCAGACCGAAGTCCCACCCCTAGACTGAACATCAATACACCGTCATCTTGTTTGTTAAATAAAATAAGCTGGTGGACATCAATCGTAAATTTTCTCTCTCCTCTGAAATCAATGGATTCCGACGTAGTTATGGTTCCCGCCGGCGAAGGTTCCAGCGCCGCCGGCCCTTCTTCCAAGAAACCCAAACGTTTCGAGATCAAAAAGTGGAACGCCGTCGCTCTTTGGGCTTGGGGTAATTCTACTCTTCTTCAACCCTAATTTTCAATTTCCCCCAATTTTTCCTCGAATATCCCGATTGATTGATTCCAATTTTTCTTTCTTCTTTTTTCAGATATTGTTGTCGACAATTGTGCTATTTGTCGTAATCATATTATGGATCTTTGTGAGTTTAATTTTTTTTATTTTTTTTGGGCGTTTTCGTTCATTACGGTTTTCGTGTTTGAATCTAATTTTTTGTTTGTCTTTTGATAATGAATTGATTTTAGGTATTGAATGCCAAGCTAATCAAGCTAGCGCTACGAGTGAGGAGTGCACTGTTGCCTGGGGTATGATCTTCTTCTCTCTTTTTTTTTTTAATTCTTTTTTCATTTTTGTCGCAAATTTTATGGTTTTGGTTTTTATTTGTTAGTTTATAGAATTGTCATTTGAATGTTGTAGACAATTTGCGTGGTTCCATCGTCAAATCTTTGAAATTTTAATTGCAGAATGCATTACATCTCTCTACCAATTGATTGTGGTTTTGTTGTTTAGTTCTTTATGCTTGTTGAGATCCTTGTTTCCTTTGTACGCCGTATATTGTTGGATTATGTTTTGACTGTCCGACTGTTGTGTATAGTCTATTCCTCTGATTCAAGTTATTCTCTTTTTCGCTCGAGGATCAATTCCTGTATTTCTTATTCTTTTGATGGTCATATACCCGATAAGATAATTTTTGTTGGATCTTACCTGCTGCCTTGAGTATCTTTTAACCATTGACCTTAATTTGGGAGGTCATATAGTTTGCGAATTAGACAGTTAAGTGCTTTTCCTGTTTGTCATTTAGGAACTTTTTTCGTAGTTGGAGAAAATAAGTAGTCAGTGTGATCAAATGGAACTTTAGAAGTGATAACTGTTTACTCGTGTATGTAATCTGAGGGCTACACACTTAATTATGACTTGCATTTGATTTTTTTTGTAAGGGATATGTCTCACCATGGACATTGGTTTTGGTAGATATAAGTGAGACCCTAAATACGAATGAATAAAGATTCAAGATTCTTGTATGTTGGAAACTAGGGTGACATAGCTCATACTTTGATATTGCTAGGACAGTTATGTTGGTTCATTGAAGTAGCTGTTATATGTCGATTCAGTAGTACAATATATTTCAACATTTTTTACATAAAAAACGCAGGTACAAAAAAAGTTTAATGTAAATTTAAGATCAATAGGATGGTTGAAGTTGACTTCCTTTACTTTTATTCATCAGAAGCTTCAAGCTGTTTTTTTAAGTACCTAAAATCCACTTTGCTGAGTCACGTGTAGATTACCATTGTAGCGACCTTTTATTCTAAGGTAGTACTTACTGCTGTGGCTTAAAATGTTAATGTCTGGGAGTAAATTATCTTCTGTTTCAGAGTTTATGTGAAAGGATCTTGAAATTTTTATAATATCATCCCACATGATGGCAATTAAATAGAATGGCCCAAGAAGTGATAAGCCTTGTAATTTGTTATATTGTTGGATATTTTTCTTTTCCTTTATGTGGCCTTCTTGTGATGTGAGAAAGATAGTGAAAATAATCAAGTTACTTTTGTTAGTGGATACAAGTGTCCTTCCTAGTCTTATGGAGCTTTAGTTGAGAACTTGTGATCGGTGACATCGGTGTGCAAGCCCTAAGTCCAATTCCTGAGATTGAATTTGTAAAACATATCTTTAAACTGTAAATTTTTCACATGACCATCATTTGATTTGTTCCTGATGTCAAATATATCATGTCTGTGATGACTCTATTTTATAACTAATGCGCTGTCATTGTATTCTTATGGTTCTAAGAAGATTAGAAAAAACTTGTAAATCTTCAAATTGTAAATGTTTCATGTGCCATTATTTTATTAGTTATTGATGTCAAATATATTATCTTTATAATGTAACTCATGGGCTGTCATTGTATTCTTATGGCTCTAGGCAAAGGAGATAAACTTTGTAACCTATTGTACTCTATTATTTAGTCCCAGTGCTCTTCATTTGTCACTGATGTGTATGAATCAACTTTGCTTCTCTTATTCTTTTCATCTTTTGCACTTGGTGGCAGGTGTCTGCAACCATGCCTTCCATTTCCACTGCATCAGCCGTTGGTTAAAAACTCGACAAGTCTGCCCGTTAGGTATGTGGTGCTGTAGCCTGTTTACGTGTCTCTGTTTATTGCCTTTCTGATTGCTATTTAATCTTTGAAATGCTTAGACAGCTGAAGGCTTCTTTTTTTGTTTTCTGTGTGCAGATAATAGTGAGTGGGAGTTTCAGAAATATGGCCATTAGTTTTGGTTATGCAGAATATGTACAGCAGCTTTCTTTAGCTCATTTGGGGATGGTCAGTGGATATTTTGTGAAAAAAAAATCCGGTTTCAGCAAATTGCCTTTTTTTTTTTTTTCCCCGCGGTTAAAGTTGTGAAGAATGTCCTAATGTTTCCCAAGTTGCATTGAAGTCTTGAGATTACATGCTCTGGATAAGCACTTGATTATCTGTGTAACCCTTGAATCTGAAATTAGATTGTTTCTACTTATGGATAAACGATTCCCATGCTATCCTTGAAAAGCTGCTACATTTTCTTTCATTCTATGTTCCATTTACATCAATAGTTTGATCAATGTTACTCTGGCTTGAATTCCCGTTAGACCATCCCCACTAATGGTTGAAAACCATGAAGATTCCTGAAAAGTAAAAACATATGAGTATTGGAGAAGTGTATAGCGTTCAAATTTCTAATCCTTTTTATTTTGATTTTTTATCTTTTTTTTATTTTGCAACTCTTGATTCCTTTGGTACTGTTTCCTTTTTTTAAAATATTAATTTATATTTTAAAAAATGTCGTATCTATACCTGAAAATTTTTAAACATGCAGTTTTATAAAGAATCCATTACTCCTCACCCTTGTAGCCACAATATATTTTTCAAATGTTTCATTTCAGCTTTGGACTATAGTCATTTTTTATTGGTTCATTAGCCTCTCTCTCGACAGCCTGCAGGAAAGAAAAACTTTTATTTAGTTATGAAGGGAGTACGTATTAAATGTAAATGCATCTGATTGACATCTGATAGACTTACTTCATGATAACTTCGAAGGAGATTCTGGCATTCCCTACTACGCATACTTCATGCGGGAGAACATTACCTTACTAGCTTCATAAACACCAATCTCTTCTCTCAATAAATCATAAGCATCTACGCTAGATATTCCCGTTTCCTGCCTTCCTAAGGCCACCGAGAGTTCGTCCATGTCACGAAGTCCCCGTGATATATCAACTCTCTTTTAGCACGTCATTGTGTTCTGATCAAACAAATAATTCAATGAGGTGACTCAAATGTCCATGCCTATCCGTAAAGATTTAACATCTCAAATATTTCAAAAAGCAAATTATTGTTACATGATGTATTTAGAATTGGAGGAAGAAAAGTGTTTAAATTACCAAAAGTATACTGTTTAGGGTAAAAATACCCCTAAGACACGTGGCCCAATAAAGGCTTGTCACATGTCAAGTTTGCAACGGTCAGCAAAGGCCCAATCCCATTGCGACACGTGTCATTGTATCCTAAATGAGGTACAACTCTCCCCTACTATAAATAATAAGGGCAGACCTCATTTATGGGGATCGAATCATTTTTCAACCACCAACCAAACACAAATCCCCTTGCAAACGCTCTCAAATCGAGAAGCATTTATTGTCTTATCTCCACATTAAGAAAGATACTAACTTAATCTTCGGAGGCGGAACACCCCAGCCCCAGCCGGAGTTTTCCGTTACTTGTACAGGTACAGGCAAAGGAAGGAGCATACTAGGAAATTGTAACTCTCCCGTAGGACACATTAAAAAACCCCCAAACATCTGGCGCCGTCTGTGGGGAGAGTACTTTCTAGATGACTTCAGAACCCGTACTGCCGGGTAAAGGTAGTCAACCTGCTGGTGAGGCTGAGGTCCACTCGGACCAAGATACAGCCGACAACTATAAGGTTGAAACTTACACCGCCGCCGATGGTTCTTTTAGAACCAAGCATACTCGTTCCAAAGACAAAAGGGAACGGGCAGAGCAGCAGGCAGACTCAAACCATCCCGTCAGGGGACCGCTTGGGTTAACTCCTGCTTCAGAAGGGGCCACCCCAGTCTCCAGGGATGAACTCATGAGCATGATGATGAGTTTCAAAGGGGAAATCAAAGGCCTTCCGGATAACACAGCCGGCCCCCGTAAGGGTCAGGCGGAAGAAAAGCGTCTTGGAAAAAAGACGGCCAGAACAGTGAAGGGTAGAGCATCTACCCCACATCCGAAGTCAAGTGTGCCAGCTAGGCCCATTGATTTCTCAAAGATACACACTCCCATGGATGGAGCCAGAAAACCCGTCCGGCACATACAGTCGGATGGAACAAAGAAAGTCTATTCTGATGCTCGGAAGCTCATTCAGGATAAAAAGACTCAGCGTTCCGAGTCGGCATCAACGTCGACCTTTCGAGACAGCTTCAATGTCACATCAGCAAAGCACTCGAGAACAAATAATGACAGCCGGACGAGCGAGGTTTCCGCTCGATCCGGCCCTCACATAATCCAACCGGCATTGCATGGGACACCATACACGCCTTTTGGATCTCCTTATTCATAGCCGGGTCTTTTCGGGGGGCAGCAGCAGCCGCCTGTCCAGCCTATGGACTGGCAGCTCCGGCTGCTCAACCTTGGGGAACAGCCAACGGCATTTTCCAGGGAAATCACCGAGATGGCCCAGCCGTCCAAAATTAAAAATGTGTTGGTGGGTGCCTACGACGGTACCACCAACCCGGAAGATCACCTCATGGAATACACCAACCTAATGTATTTGCAGGGTTTGGATGATGCCTCATGGTGTAGGTGCTTCCCGGCAACGTTGAAAGGGATTGCTCAGCGTTGGTTTGGCAACCTCCCAGCCGGATGCATCAATAATTTCAGGATGTTGGCCTACTGGTTTGCGTCCAACTTTTCTATGAATATTCCTGCCAAGAAAACAAGCCTTGATCTAGGGGCAATTCAGCAGGGAGATAAGGAAGGGCTCCGGTCATATGTCAGGCGGTTTAACCTGATGAAGATCCAAATCCATGGATTGTCAGATGACGTTGCCTACACTGATTTCTTTAAAGGCCTAAAAGACGGGTCAACTTTTAAGTTTGACTTGGTTAGAAAGAGGGTCTCTACTCTTCATGAGGCGCTTATGAAGGCGGAGGCTTACATTCAAGAAATGGAACTCTGTGCTGTGAAACTTCCAACGCATTACAGAAGATCCGACAAAAAAGAAAATCGGCCTACCCAGCCAGCCAAAAAGGAGGAAAATAAGAGAAAGGGGTATGGGCAGCATACCTATCCGGAAAACCTTTCCAGAAAAGAAAGAGGTCGGATCCATATGTGCCAAAGTATGAATTCAACAAGGATTGTGCTTCCATTCTCAAAGAAGTAAAGGACCGGTTGAATCTTGAAAAATCGGCTCCCATGAAGAGTCTTGTAAGCGCCCGGGATAAGAGCAAATATTGCCTTTTTCATGAAGAAATTGGCCATGATACTGAGGGTTGCTTTAGCCTCAGGCGGCTCTTTGACCGGCTTGCTGACGAAGGGGCTCTCAAGTCCTATTTATCCAATTCAAAGGGTGCTCCCAAAGAAGTAAAAGGACCACCCCCAAAGACACCGGCTAATCAATCTGATACGGATGCGGATACCATCCTAACCATAGCCGGTGGATTTGCGGGAGGTGGGCCTACCATCTAGGGCACAAAGGATAACATTAGGAAACTGGTCAACTCAGTGGATGAGGGCCAGTCGTCTAAATATTCATTTCCGGAAGTTAACATCTCTGAGAAATATAGATGAGAGGTCAGGCGGCCTCATGATGACCCCATAGTCATCGAGTGCAAAATCGTCAAACAACGAGTTGGCCGGATCTTAATTGGTACCGGGAGCTCATCTGACCTCATAAGCTACCGGTGCTTGGAAAAACTTAAGTACAAGCCCAGTAGCATGCATTCGGCCTCATATCCTCTTGTTGGTTTTGGGGGAGGAGTAGTACATCCGGTGGGCATGATTGATCTACCCATCCGGTTTGGAGAAAAGGGAAAGGGCCGACACATGGTTGTCAAGTTTCTTGTTGTAGGAGAACTGACTGCCTACAACTTGATTTTTGGCCGCCCAACCCTTAACATCTCAAAAGCAGTTATCATCCCATCTCTAATGTTGATTAAGTTTGAAAGGGATGATGGCATAGTCGGTTCCTTGAGTGGGGACCAAAAGATGGCGAGAGAGTGTTACCTCTCGGACATCAAACCAACGCTTGACACAGACGGTCAAGAGAAAGAAATAGTTGAACTTGACGACTGTGATCAAAGCTCAACGGCTATTAAGCCAGCCGGTAAAAAGAGAAAGGCGGATCAAATGGAGCCTATAAAGGAGAAACAATAGCAATCACTGTCAGGGGAGAGGCTAGACGGCCTTCGCCCCCAGCCGGCTGGAGAAATAATTGACATTGTCCTTGAAGACAGCCGACCAGACAGAACCGTCAACATTGGGACAGTTGCTTTTGAAAACTTGGGACCTGACTTGCTCCTTTTGCTGAAGGAGTTCAAAGATGTGTTTGCCTTTGAAGTAGAAGTGATGTCGGGTGTAAGTCCGGATCTTGCTGTTCATAAACTTGCTGTGGATCCTAAGAAGAAGCCGGTCAGGCAAAAGAAAAGGAACCATGGCGAGGAAAGGTCCCATGCGGCAGCATCTGAGGTCAAGAAACTCTTAAATGTTGGGTTCATCCGGCAATGCTACTACCCGGATTGGGTAGCCAATGTTGCTCTCGTGAAAAAGACGAATGGAACCTGGAGGATGTGCGTAGATTACACGGACTTAAACAGGGCTTGTCCAAAAGATAGCTACCCGCTTCCAAAGATAGATCATCTGGTAGACTCTACAGCCGGCCATGCCCTGATGAGTTTTATGGATGCCTACTCCGGCTTCCATTAGATACCCTTGTGGAAGAAAGACTAATAAAAGACGGATTTCGTCACAAATCAAGGGTTATACTTCTACACAGTGATGCCGTTTGGGTTGAAGAATGCGCCTGCCACTTTCCAACGAATGATGAACTCGGTCTTTTATGATCAGATTGGAAGGAATGTGGAGGCGTACATCGATGACATGATAGTCAAGTCAAAACTACAGGAGGATCATCTAGCTGACCTCCGAGAAATCTTCACCATCCTCAGGCGTCATAAAGTTATGTTAAACCCTAAAAAATGCGTCTTTGGAGTTGAATTTGGGAAGTTTCTCGGATATTTGATTAATCAGAGAGGCATAGAGGCCAATCCGGACAAAGTACAGGCGGTGATTGACATGTAGTCGCCTCGTACCGTCATGGAGGCTCAAAAGCTTACCGGTTGCCTGGCGGCATTGGGGAGATTTCTCAGCCGCTCAGGTGACAAGTGCCTGTATTTCTTTCAAGCAATCAAAAAGAAGTCAAGGTTTGAATGGGGTGAGGAGGCAGAGGCGACATTTTAAAGGCTGAAGCAACATTTACATTCTTTGCCAAGATTAGTGAGCCCCCTACCCCAGGAGGCTCTCTACATGTACTT